TTATTTTTTATTAAAAAATTAATACTTTTTTTTTATGTTTGCAGGCAAATTTGCCTGCTCTACAGTTTAAGGGATAAATTATGAAGTGACGAATAACTTGAATTTATATACTTCTCTTTTAAATCTCCATTCACAACTTCTCTGAGTCTGAGTTCATGTTAGAGTCAAAGTAGAAGAATATGCAATGGACTCTTACGCTAAAAGTTTGTGTTTGAGAATAAGGACATATAGAATGTGTATTAAAGATCTTAACATTACATTATATATACTTTAATGAGGATTGAAAACATGTTAATTTATGTTATACATGTTTACATGCATTAGCCTTAAGACGCTGAGGATATATATATACATACTTTTTTTTCTTTATTTTACTTACCTGACCGCTCAGTAATAAAAGCCTACTAACATTATATAAATATATTCTGGTTGAAATTTAGTAGAAATAGCTTTTAGCATTGGAGGAAATAAACTTATAAATAAATGCTATTCAGATAGATAGGAAAAAATTCAAAATATTTTTAAAAGCGATTTATGTGTGAAATTATTTTGTCATACAAGTATAATTTTACAGATGATTTGCAGACTATTACATATTACATCATATATACTTTAACGAGGATCAGAAACATATTTTATTTATGTCATACATGCCTTCATGCATTAGCCTTAAGCGTTTCGCATGGCTGAACAGTATATTATTTTATTAATACAATATTCAGAATCTGGGTCAAGAACTGATCTGAAAAATTTGATATACAAACTTACTATTATCATCCAAATCTGAGAAATTTACGGTAAGATTTTTTTCTAGAATATCATATTTTTTTAATGACTGTGAATCACATATATATTGTACTCCTGTCAATTCATCATTATATTTCTTACAATCCAAAATTTTGATGAAGTATTCAAAGTTATATTTTTTATTAATACGATAATATTCAGGATTTTGTAATCATTTTAACTTGTTAATCCAATATGCACCTCTAACAAGTGTATAGCCTTGCTAATATACAGATCTCAGTGAAAGTAATAGCACTCAGTTTTTTAATAATTTGTGTGCAATTTTATAATAAAAAATCAAAAAAAAAATTATTTTCTGAAAGACCGACCAAAATTACATATATTTTATTAATTAATTAATATTTGGTATGGCTTCCTTCTGCGTCAATACATGCTTTAATGTAACTTGACATACTATTAATGCAGTTAACTATTACAATGTTTTCAATATCATTCTATTCCTTCCTAATTAAATTTAAAAAAATTTCTTTTAGATTTTTTTCCTTTATATCACCATTCTCTTGACCTTTTTCTCAACATTTTTCTTTAAAATAGTCCAAACATTTTTAATAGGTCAAGGCTATAGGAAGGCCAAGAAAGAACCCGATCTGAAAGGTGAGTTTTCAAGTCACCTTGAACATCACGGGAAGTATATTTTAGGTCATTATCTTGCTGAAAGACCCATCAGTTACCATGTATTGCACTTGCATTATCATATAAATGTTTATTTAAAATTTGACAGTATAAATGATGATCCAAATTTTCAGTGAACGTGTGTATGCCAATTTTTCCCTTAACCTTAAACATAAACTTTAAATAAGTGTTTTACCATCAGAGCAATAGGTTTTTTGTCACGTGACCATACTAGAAGGGTATTACAGAACATTTGAAGTGTAGTTTTATCAGAAAATACTACCTTTTTCTAATTATAATTTACGTGATCACAGGCCCAAAACAACCAGTTCTCTTTTGCTTTCTGTGTCAAAAGAGGAATTTTTCTAGGACGAACAGATACAAATCCAAGATTTTTTAGTTCACGATGAATGGTCCGTTCACTAACTTCAAGCTCTGGATTTTTTTCTTTAAGTTGGACCTTCATTTCACTTGCTGTAGTGAAATGATTATGCTTGACGATCATTCCAATTTGGCGGCGTTTTTAGGAGTCAATTTTCGTGGTCGACTAGACTGATAACCTATAGTAATCTTACCAATTTTCTTTAATAAACTAACATAACGATAATAGAAGCGTAAGGGAACGCCTGTTCTTTGTGAAATTTCTCTTGCATTTCGGATTTTTCGCTGCCAAAGAAGATTAACAGCATTTCAGTTTCTTTCAAGGGTGGTTAATACCATTTTAAATGAAAAACATGAAGAAATTCATTTTTTTCTACAACTTTTTTTTGTTTGTTTATTTAAATATTATTTATAAAGAACACTTTAGAAATACTGAAAAATTTTAGAGTGAAAATAAACATGCTACGACTCAAAAAACAAGCAGCACTTGTAGTGCTATTACTTTCGCCGGTGACTGTAATAATTTTCTAACAAATATGTGTGATACTGTATCTAATCGTTACTATAATTGGGCTTTTTTTTCATACATCCAATTATTTCTTACTAGATAACAACATTCTTCATCCTTATAACAAATATATTCTGATTGTTTTGATTCATTTTTTATACCTAAAAACTTTATATTATCGGAAATATCATCATTTTTCACTGTCTTTTAAACTCGTTTTGCCAAAGATTCAGGTCTTTTCTTGTAATTTCTATAAGCTTGCTGAATAACTATTGCATAAAAATTTCAAAGCTATAATTATAGTAGTATTTAGGAATCAAGAATCCTCAAGATCACTTCATTGATCTTTCTGAATAATACTTTATTATAAATTAGAAGATCTAACCTTACAGATCATGTATAATATCTTTAGCTAATTCCACTAAGCGATCATCTATAGTGCAAAAAATAAATTATATTAGTTAAACCAGTTAAATAATCATGATTTTTGTTCCATCTTTCAATCTTAACATAGTACCTTTTGGCCAATTAAGATGGTTTAAGTTATTTTGTTTTGCGTATATAGATGAAATAAATATTTCACTTCTACTTATTCTATAAAACTGCGGGAGAGAATCAGGTGTATTTTTTCAGAATATAATACCCCTCTTTGATTAGAAGATTTTTTACGTAATATTTCTGACTTTGAGCTTGTGAGAAGATGGACTGACCTCTTTAAGACCACTTCTATATGTTTATTAGTCTTGAAACATGAGTTATTCCAATGATGTTTCATCAAGTCTTTAGGCTTAATCTCATACCCATATTTCTGCTATCTATTGAAATACGTCTTTTTTTTAGTTTTTTATCAGTGATCTCTACTAATTTCCAACAATCGAAACAAATAGTCATTTTGCAACTGTGAATATTAAATCTGTGATAACCAATGGCAACTTCTCTCCCTTCATAGTTATCATAGTATGTTTTGGTTACTCCTTGTTCAGATGATCTGAAAAGGCAGAATACATGATAATAGCTTTTATGGCCTTCAGTAATCAATACTTGCAAAGCAACTTTCATACGAATAGCCCATTGTTATGGAGTTTCATACGAACTAATAATAGATAAATTATCATATCTATTTTTGACCTCAACCATCTTTTCAAATTGACCAGGATAAGGAAAACCATAACGGTTTCTAATATATTCAATATCATATCCAGGACGAAGATTGATGAGCACAGATTTATTATAAACCTTGTCTAAAATAATATCAATGAATTTATTAGGCCTAGATCTATTAACAATATTTCCTGACATATTTAACAATTTTATTGATTTTATAGTGATTTTAGTGATTTAGCTGATTTAAGCAATATTATACTCCAATAAATCCAAATTCATTTTTATTCGATTGTTTGGGTAGAAAACAGATATTATAATTTTTGATTTAGCTAAATTATGTACAGCGTCTTTGGCTAAAATTTGTATCACATATAATCTTCCTAAATCCCTGCTAATTCTTTAATAGTTCTAGGAGAGTTCTAAGAGCTAGTGAGTTTTTATAAATCACGAGATGATCAGCTAATTGAAAAAAGAAGCTATCAGATGAGAGATAAAGATAAGGTAACAGGGTAGCTTATCTTCTGCAGATTAACAGGAAAAATATTACTTTTTCTGATAATTGAGTCTGTCTGAGCTTGTTAAAAGAATAATTATATAAGGTTTTATTTTGCTGATACGAATAATATTAGCACCTCACATTAATTCACAGAACTTTTAACAAGAAATACAATTTATCGATTTTTTATTATTTATAAAATAAAAAAATTGCAAAAGCAATAACTTATACAAAAATAAAAATTGTGAATATATTGCTGTTACATTTAATAATCCTTATTCATCTTTACCAACAATATTATTATAACCACCATTATCTATGACTAAATAGTTTCTACTTATGACATTAGAAAAAGTTGATTCGAGATCTTCTTCATCCTCATCATCAAGATTATTAATTTGATATTCACTTAAAAGAATTCAGTGATGAACATCATGTTCGTGATCTTCCAAAAGCTTGATATTTTTAAATGAAATGTTGCATACAGAGCACCACTTTCTTTGCCTAAATTGAATGTCATTATTAGTGAAACTAATAAGGTTAAAAAAATATTATATTGGATTCTTATACTGCTGAAGAGTTATATGTTTACCTTGAATAATAATGTGAATATTGTTATTATCTGTATCCTTGAAGTGTTTCTTGATCTTATCTGTTACATACTGTACTTCATTTACCTCCTCTTTATTCAACACACTATCAACTGACACATCAGGATCTCTAAGTTACTCAAGTCTCAAATCATCTTGAGCAATTTGCATATTCCATAGTTTAATGTCAATGGTATCTATATTCCAAAATGTATCCTGCAATTTTTCTTTGATTGCATCCTTAAGCTCAAGAATACTTTTGTTCTTATTAATGGAAATATTATTGGAATAACTCATATTTTAAGACTAATAAATATATAAAAGCGGTTTTAAAGAGACCAGCCTATTTTCTCGCAAGCTCAAAGTCAGAAATATTGCGTAAAAAATCTTCTAATTGAAGGGAGTATTATATTCTGAAAAAAATACACCTGATTTCTTCCCGCAGTTTAATAGAACAAGTGGGAGTGAAATATTTATTTTATCTATATACATAAAACAAAATAATTTAAACCATCTTAATCAGCCAAAAGGTATTATGTTAAGATTGAAAAATGAACAAAAATCATGATTGTTTAACTGATTTAACTAATATAATTTATTTTTTGCATTATATTATAAATGATCACTTAGTGGAATTAGTCAAAGGTACTATACATAATCTGCCTATTCTGGGTTAGATTTTCTAATTTATAATAAAGTATTATTCAAGAAGATCAATAAAGCGATCTTAGGGATTCTTGATTTCTAAATACTACTATAATTATGACTTTAAAAATTTCTATATGACAGTCATCCAGCAAGCTTATAGGAATTACAAGAAGAGACCTGAATCTTTGGTAAAATAAGTTTAGAAGGTAGTAAGAAATAATGGCATTTCTGATAATATAAAGTTTTTAGATATAAAAAATGAAGAATATTATCCTTCAGGATAAATTTGATATGAGGAATATTGCTTTTCAGTGAAAAATGGTTGGATATATAAGAAAAGAGTCTAATTATGGCAGTGATTATCTTTTGCAATATTCATACTTATTAAGAAATTATTATATCAACAAGGCTATATAGTTATTAGAAATACATATTGGCTTGATATGTTAAAATAGTTACAGAATCCCAAATATTATAGTATTCATAAAAAGTATAATTATGTATATTTCATCAGAATTTTAGAATATAAGGCATATAATATTAAATCATCAGAAATAAAACCTATATGCGATTCGCTATTAAAATATATATATCATATTTATGAAAAAGATATTATCGTGAATTTTACAGACTTAGATGACCTAGATCCTGAATATTATATTAATAAAATAATATATTGTTTAGCTATGCGAAGCATTTTAATGCCAATGCATGTAAGAATATATAACATAAATTAACATATTTTTAATCCTTATTAAAGAGTATATGATGTAATAATAATACTCTGCAAATCATCAGTGAAGCTATGCTTATGTGATAAAGTAATTTTACAATAAATCAATCCTCAAAATATTTCAATTTTTTTTTACAACATTTAGCGAAATAAGATTTAACAGAATAACATTTACTAATATGAATATTTACTCTAAAGGGACAGGCTCTCTAATACCACTGATTCTGAATAAAATATATTTATATAATATTGCTTGGGTCTTAATATTAACTATTGAGTAGTCAAATAAGCAAAAAAAGTCTGTATATGCATTATCCTAATGCCTTTTATAAATGTTGAGCACTTCAATATACATTCTGCATATTTTTACTAACGAATATAAAATTTAATATAAAGTACCCATATTTTCTCTTATCTCTTCTTCAATATAGATGTGAGTTTAGAGAAGTGTAAATATGAGAAAATGGTGGCATTTAAAAGGACGATATAGATAATTTTTAGCTTTTTGTCATTTATTTTACTGTTGACGTTATTTTAGTATATTAATATTATTTTATATTCTAAACCAACTATGTAAATATATTTACCATAATGTATAATAAGATTTATGACTACTGAGAAATATCAAATAAATGCTACGTCTATTATTTATCTTAGAATGAAAAAAAACCATTGGATTTTCCAAATAGAATTAAAATCAATTGTAGAACGAGCTGTAAGATCTGCTAGCAATGTATTTATAGAAGATTTTTCTTGTCATTTAAAAATTTTCTGAATCCTATCACAGGTTAGTTAAGATTTATGCAAACATTTTAGCTTTTATTATTATATGATGATACTGTATAATCGTTTACTAAAGTAAACCTAAATAAATAAGTTATTTTTTAGTTTATTACTTATGTTTGACTAACCCATTCAGCTCGCTTACCAGTAAATACTTATATGTAATAGAGAGATGTATATATTATAATCTGTTATACAGTTTTGTAGTTTACCCTACCAACCTATTATGTGAAAAAGTTATTACTATATCAAGGATATGTTAAAATATGAGTTATTATGTTACTTTATTAGTATTATATAAAGTTTCATCTGCGTAATTGCTATACAAATATGATTACTTTGCATATACATTGATGATTGTGTTATTTTTATGATAAGAACTTCTTTTTATTTTTGAAATCTAATACAATACTTTTTTTAGTTTGACATTAGCTTTGAAGGTATTTGTATCTTATATGATATAGGGTAATTAAAATGGATAAAAAAATTTCTTTTTAGTTCAGATTAAATTGATTATAATATAAATGATCTAAAAAAAAAAGTTTAAAAAAGACACTTCATCCTCTATCAACAATTATATTTCAAAGTAAATGTTATATCTATTTAAGCTTAACCTAAAAGAATCCTTTGGCTACCTGAGTTAGTAGCGATCAATCAGAAGTTATCAAGCAGTTGTTATCAAATCTAAAAAAGAAATTTAAGGTAAGTAATAATAAATTTATTAAAGATTCTTTGAAAATAAATATAACATATTTTTTATATTAGAAATCTGCTTAACAAATGACACCTGCTCCTATGACAATAGTTAAAGAGATGTGTAAAAATTTTGTAACAAGTTTTGTCAATCATAATATTTAGAATACAGTACCAGATAAACTAATTCATAATGGATCTTAAAAAGAATTAGAAGAAAAAATCGTGGATGTTATAAAGAAGTTTTAATTCTTCTGAAAGATATTTGGATTAACCTAGCTTTTAATTCTAAACTTGTAAAATTGCTAAATGAAGGAACTTATTAATCAACAGTTATTCTATTATCTATTTGAATAATATTAAAAAATCTTTTTTTTAGATCAATCTCATTTATCAGTACTTCAGAATGATAGAGCATTGCTAATGCAAATAGGAAAGGTGAAAGGCAAATTAAAAGATAACCAGATATTATATATGTAGTAAAATATTTAGATGTTTTTTTTGAGCTTATATATGTCGAATGTTTGCAATTATACTGTAATTAATAGAAAAAGGTAGATAATGAGATAAAGCTATAGAGAGAAAGTAACAATGGAATATTCTGGGTTTGCAAAGTTCTTAAACTGGAGAAAGATTAATTTGGAATAGTTAGAGTATAAGTAGCTGGGAATATGTTACATCTGAATATATTTATTAGAGATAAAGCAAACGTTCATAGATATTTTTATTTACAATCAGCTAAAATTCTTATGCGATTGTCAGATGTGAGCGTTATAACTAAAGTTGTGAAAACCCTTTTACTTTTACAACTTTTACGAAATATATTAATTACAAATTTATCCCTACTATATTATGCATTTATTTTAATATCAAAAAGACAAAAAAAAGATAGTATTACAGTTTCTATTCCAATGCAAGATAATTAAAATTTCTTTTTTTTATAATTTATATTATATATCATTATTTTTGTATCAATAAAGTGCCCTAATGGCTGATTATTTTACATATTCATCTGTAATTTTTTTCATATAAGATATGTATCTTATAATAAATTTTTTAAATATTAACATATAAAGCATAAATAATAAAACCTACTGCACTTAGTTGCTTTTCTTAAAAAAACTAAAATACTATATTACGCAAGTATACAATCTGAAATAAATGAATTTCAGATTGGCTGATTCATTAAAACAATACATTGCCAAACTTGAGGTTGAGAATGACTGAGAATATTAAGTTTAAGGTCAGATTTGTGAAATTGGAGATAAGCAATTGCAAAATGTATTAATAAAAAATATACTATCTGTATCACAAAAATATAATCATGTATCAATTTGGTGAAATTTTTTCAGCGTTAAAATACCCCTACTAAAATGATTTTTTCTTACTGACCAATAAATGGGTGTTATATGCATTTTTGATAATATCACAATTTTCTAGCAGATCTCTTGCAATATTGATGCATATGATTATTTTCTTGTAAAATTTTTGAATGTATAAAATTCTTAAAATTTTTTTATTAGTTACTTGTGGTAATAATGATTGGTATACTAACACTATCTTTTCACATATATTACTCAAAGCAACTTAATCAACTTTCTTATTCTATCAAAATAGATACATAGTAACATCTTATATCATAAAAACATCTATTATTGCTAGAACAGGTAAGTAGTATCCATCCTTAAATGAAAGATTTGTTAAATAAGACAGTTGAAAATTATATTAAGCAAAAGAGTATCAGAAGATAAAGCCTATTACTAGCGACTGTAAAACTTCATTAAGACAAGAAATGAGGAATTGTGTATATCAAAGCAGATATTATAAAAAAAGATTAATAAGCTTTTCAACTTGCAAGAGCAATATAAGTCATGTGAGGTAGCCATAATCAGATCTTTAGAAGAAAGTGATAAGAAAGTCACCTAATTATCAGATTCAGTAGCTTTTTTTAAAAGTATAATTCCTGATATGAAGAAAGCTATGCATTAGCAGAAAAGTTTATTGATATATTAGAAAATAAATGCCAATATCTGAAGGATATTATTTCTGTTAAAAATAGAAAATTATCACTTTTATTGATCAGATCCTTTCCAAAATGAAGCATAGTGATATGACTATAGAACTGAAAATATATTTTAGCACTTATGAAAGAAAAATATAGATTAAAAGGTGTAGTGAATCTAAACATGATCTAAAAACTAGGAAAAAATATACATTTCATCTTTAAACTTAAGAAATTCTAGAGTTCTGAAAATGATTCGCATAAACTTATATATTTGACTCGCATGATTGTGCATAATTGTAAATTTTAGTTACACATAATAAATAAGTACTTTAAATTAAAAGTATGTAGGATAATTTTGACTCAAAACTCGACTTGACTCGACTTATTAGAAACAATAAGAAATTCTACTCATCCAGCTTTAAAGGAGAATTTCAGTTCAGTCTAATCACTAATAGATCATCTATCAACTTAGTGAAATCAAAGACTACAAAATTTTTATCTCGTAAATGCTTATTAATGATCTTAGATACTTTTTTAGGTTATTTATATATTAACGCATATAGTTTTCTTAAATAATTCAATTTTTTCTCATATACTATATTGATGCATTCATTCATCTTTGCTAAACTTATAAAATGAATTCTCATTAAAAAAAAAATCTAATATCTTTGCATTTAAAGTTTTAAATTTAATCAATAAGACTCAATTCCTGAAGATGCTCTAGAATAACTACATATAGGTTTTTATAATACCAAATATACCTTAGTGCAATCCAGTTCTCTTTGCATAATTCTTTTTTGAGTTGATCTTATACTTGCTATTTGTTAAAATTATTAGGATCGCCTCTATAAAAGAATTCTATATATCTTTCATATTGTTCTCCTTGCACTTCAATTGTAAATCTATATACATAATAGAGAATATTAAGTTCTAATTCTTTAGGATGCTTAGGAATTTTTAAAAAATCTGGTTAGTAATTTTCAGATAGTGAACTAAGATACTTTGCTACAATTTCTCGACATAATTATTTGCATTTATATTTGCATTTATATCTATAACAAAATGGATACCAGATACCACTTTTCATATTACAGAGAGATGCTTACCATATATGGCCTTCTTTGCAATACTATAATAGTAATAATTGATTATTTTTATACTTGGTTAAAAGATATTGTCTATGTCTAAATAATGCAATTTGCTTCATATTTTCAAGAGTTAATTTCATACTATCTGCACAATATGGCATCACATTCTTTATTGAATACTATTAGGAACAGCTTCTCATCTATATTTATTCTCATAAATCTATTCTAATTTAACACGTGAGTTATAGTATCAATCTGAAGGTAATCTCCATTTTTTTATTTACGTGAGCTTACGCATATTCTCAATAGATTGATATTAGCCAATACAAAATAAATATCATTGTCTTCTATTTTAATATGATTAGTGAATTTTGCCATTGATGATTAGATTGATATCTCCAGATAAGCAGTTCACCTATATTTTTATGCTCAGCTGAAAGACAATCTCTATGTCTAGATAATGCGATTTGTTTTGTGTCTTTAAGGGTAAACTTTATACTACCTTTACAATATGAGTACTATGAGTTAGAATATTTAATATGATAAAGCGAGCTATTTCAAATATGACCTTTATGACATTTTTACATCATTGGAGTATCAGAATTTTTATATGTAATTAAAAGATATTTGCCATTTTGGTTAAATGCAATTTATTTAACATCTTCAAAAGTAAGATAAGCATTGCCTGCACAATATAGATACCACTTATCACTTTTCACATAGCCAAGAGATGCATGCTATAAATGGTTTTCTTTATAATACCATAATAATGGCAATTGATTATTCTTATACTTAGTTGAAAGGCATTCTCTATATTTAGATAATGTGATTTTTTTGATATCTTCAAGAGTATATTTTACATTACTTATACAATATAAGCATTATGTTTCACAATTTCTAACTCTATATAGTGAAATACACCATGTATAATTCTTAGAATAATGCTATATTAACAGAGTTTTGTTATTCTTATATTTAGTTGAAAAACATATTCCACTATGAAATTCAGCAATAGTACAAGCATCACTTAAGAATAATTTTTTTATTGTAAACAAAGATCCACTAATTTTTAGATTTTATTCTTCTAATTTTAAAGGAGTATCCCAGCTTAATCTAATCACTAATGGATCATCTATTGCCTTAGTAAAATCAAAAACTATAAAATTCTGATCTCGCAAATGCTTTTCAATGATTTTAGATACTTTTTTAGATTATCTATAAATTGATATATACTACGAATAAGATCTTTTCTATTTCTTCCATTATTAAATAATACTAGATGTAAGGTATTTTTACGAATTATCTTTGGTACAGCTTAATATTTCTGAGTCATATATATAAGAAATATGTTTTGATAATATTTACTAATAAAGTAAGAGACTATACATTCTTGTACTATTTCAATTTAGCACAAAGATCTTTAAAAATAACAACAGTATGTCTTTTCAGAAAAAATTTGCTTATATTTGAAATCTTTTTCACCTTTATTATTTGAAATGTGATATTCTTTTAATATGATATAGGACTATTCATAAAAATGTAGATAACATTTTTTACTAGTTCCTATTTAGGTTCAGCATGCTTTTCAACTAAAATTATCATTTTTTAATATATTTATTCTCCTTCTTATCTTTAAACATGCATTAGAGTTTATTGCTTATAATAAGATTGATAACTATATTAGTTTTTCTACTATATAAGCCTCCAGTAACTAAAAAACAAAAAGGCCAATCTGAACTATATTTATTGTCCTTCATTCGCTTCAAAGATTTTCTGGGATCTCGTCAATATTATACATAAAGAATTTCATATAGTACGATATACAAAGCACATTAAAATGAGAAATTTCAGCAAACTTATTTGCCTAAAATCATATGAACTTTCAAAGTTGAGCTTCACTTTATTTAAAAACCCTTTTTCAATTAGCATATGTCTAATGAATTGATATAAATTTGCAGTATAAAGCACTTTAATAAGGCATATACCTTGATCTTTGTATATATCTCGCTTTTCTGATCACGTAGCGTATATTTTATGATTTTAGATTTTTATTCTCCCATTGGTAAAAGCTATTATGATAATAGTGTTGAAGACCTTAGAATTTGAATGCAAAACGCAATTCCTCATTATATCTATCTAAGTATAATTCATCTAAGAATTTAGCTTTACATAGTGAGAATTTCTTGCCTAACAGATTCTCAAAATATATTAGTCATTTCTTTTTCTAGTATAGTGATATAGCGGATACCATTCAAATTTTTCATGATATATTTTAGTGGATACTCCTACTGATGCGTATCTTTTTTACAAAACCAAAGATATATATTATAACCATTTATTCATCCAGTTCTTCTTAAGCATTGACTACCATATTTTTCAGTATATTGATGAACTTTGGTTAAATTATCATTAGTAATTTGAATATAATAGACAAATCCAGTAGGATAATATTTTTATATAAATCTATCAGGTAGATACTCAATTTTATCAGGTTTCTCAATTACTTGGAGCTTCTCATATTTAAAGGGTCATTTGAGATTCTGTCTCATCAAGTGAGCAGTTAATTCAATGAGCTTATTCTCGAGATAATATAAGACCAGTTGTGATAGATTCCTTTTAATAATAACTCTTTTGATCTTGTAAATATGCAATGACCAGTATGAATCAATTGCTCAATATCTGTGATTACCTTCTAACTCATCCAGTTTCAATAGATATCTAATCACTATACCCTTCTTTAATTTTATCTCTTTATACCTTCCAATTGCTTACTTAGCTTTACTAGAAGGTTTTGATTCAACTTCGTCTAGAGTCATAGCATAAGCTAGTGACATTCCAATAAGATGAGTCTTGCTATTATTTAAAAATCAATATACTTTTGAAGAATTTTATTTCAGAGTCTTGAATGTTCTCCTTCAATTAATTGTCCTTCTATAGTGTATTGGATCTTATATATTAGTTTTGTTAAATTTTTCTTAAATGCTTTAATAAAAATCAAACTCTCAAAACTATAAAGATCAATAATACATATAGTGATATTATATTATTGCATCCCTCGTGAAAATGCATCTTGGAATAAAGTATCATCATCGGTTATTAACAATAATAGCTATGTAAGAGGATTAAAAGGATCTTCATATATTCTTTGATTATAATTCAGATTTCTAAACTATTTCTTGATATTAATAAATGCTTAGCCTTAAAACATATTACTATATTTATAACTAGAAAGCTATAAACAAACATCCTTCTGCTATTCTGATCATCATAGGTATAGAGAAAAATATCATATTGGTAGATCTTATTTAGGATTTTAATTTTTGAAAACTTGTCTCAGCCTTACATGATAATAGTTATATATAGATTTGATAGCTATATTAATGTTTTACCCATTTTATAATATCCTGTAATTGAAAAGAATATCCTTCCTCCTGACACGCTTTATATATTTTTTTTTGCATTAGGATTAAAACCTGATATATTATAATATAGAAACCTACAGATTATACAGAGCTCATTATATGGATCTATCACAATTTGAAGTTGACTTATTCTTAAGATAGAAATATTATGATAATACTATAAATCAGAATTGAATAATAGAATGTTTAATTCAGCATATTCACAGCTTTTAGATACAAATCAAAAGCTTTGTAATAAGCTTCAAAATAAAATTTTTATTAATAAGAGCAATAAGAAAAAACTTTGCTTTTTTATAAAAGAGCTTGAGCGATGTTATTGAACTATTTTATTATAAAATAATACTATCATAACCCACAAAAAAGAGGTAGAGAAACTTAAATCAGAAATATCTGATTTGCAAAAATAGCTTAAGGTTTTACAACAGGATAAAAAATTCAAAAATGATGTTGGATTCATTCAAGATGATCAAATTATAGAGCTCAAAAATAAGGTTGAAATCTTAAAGCAAAAATCCAGATTCTCATAGATAAAAAAATCCTTTAGATATGATAATGACTAATCTTATTATAAATGTTAATAGAGGGTTAGATCAAATTAAAAATCACATTAAGGGGTTGGTACGTCTATGCAAAATCTTACTAATGTTATAAATGGAATCAGAGACTCATTAAATACTATTTAGGTTACTTTGCAAAATATCATAACTGAAAGGGGATCAATATTAAAACCTATTAAATGATTCAATTTGGTAGGTAGATGATCTTAAAAATCAGTTAAATAATAGCAGAAATCAGAATTTATAGTTATAATATTTATTAGATGAATTTTACGTTCAGGTTGAAAAAACTTTGAGAGAAAGAAACAATGCTTAAGGAGAGTAAGACTTGGCTATATTAGCCTATAATAGTAAGAGACAAGAATCTTGTCACTAGATATTTTCATATTAGGATAAATATAGATGTGTTTAAGGATTATTGCAAGAAAAATTTGATAAATAGCTATTGTATCAGTGAGATACTAACTGTCTTCAGCAAAATATCTGATAGTTATAGACCAATGCCCAAAATTAGGTAAATAGGATGTTAGTTATTATAGCAAAAAAACAAACTCATATTAGTGAATTACTATGTGAGAAGTTTGTTTTTAGCTAATGATTAGGCAAAGAGACCAGAATATTTTAAATTTGCAGAGACAAATTTTGGCGTTTTAGAATAACCTAATTGCAAACATAACTGATGCTAAACATTTATCAATATTAAATTTGATTGCACTTATTTTTACTAAAAATAAGTCATATATAGGCTAAGAACCTCCTGACGATTATTTGAATAAGCTTATTCAATCAATATCATTTGTACAAAGATATATGACTATTCTTGAAAATGCAAATGCTAGAGATTTTGATAATACTGTCAAATGTGATATTTATAAAGCTCAGATGGGAGGAAAATATTTACCAGTTCAAGCCTAAGACTCATATAATAGAAAAGTCAGTACTGCAGAAGTTAATTCAAGAAAGATTTCTATCCACAGATTCACCAGATACTTATGAAAAAAGAATCTGACCTTTATTATTAGATGTAGCAAATAGTGATAACCAAACTGTAGGATTTCTTAAGAATCACTTATTAGGTGATCTTTATATATAGATACGAGCTATTACTCCTGCTGTATTGATGCATCCTTTACATAACTTAAAGATATGTGATTAAAATGTGCTCCAAATTTAAATAGGTTAAAATTATCAGAATAATTCTTCAGCTAAGATTAAAAAGTTAAAATCTGAAATAGCATCCTTACAAATTCAGTTAACTCAACTAATCTAAATGCATTTCCAATATAATAATACCTAGAAAAGATATATTCGTATAATGCGTTTAGGGATGCCATCTGATGTACCAAAAAATTTTATATCTTTAGATAATTATATTAATGACGAATTAATAAGAAGATTGGGCATTGCTAATACCAATTATACTAAGCTTTCCAAAAAATACTCTCAAATAGTTAATATTATCAAAAAGTTGGTCAAGCATAAATGCTCTAATTGTGGTAAAGCTAGTCACAATTTTTGTAAGTGTTTCAGAAAAAAGAAGAGTAAGTCTAAAAAGAGTAAAGTAAATCTTGCCACTTTGGAATCAGGTTGGGTTCAAATAATAATTCTGAT